CATTTATAGTTAAGATGTTTTTTAAATGCAAGAAATCTCTGGAAAAATAGAAGTTTTGGCATTGGTATTGAGCAATTGAGACAGCAGGAGGCATTTGCAGACATAGAGGTGTTGAAAGAGTTTGACAAAGTGGAGTGGTAGAAAGTGGTTTAGTGTTTTTGGAGGTCAGGGAGACATGTTTGAGCATGCCAACAACACGGTAGTACAATGTTAAACACAAGGCAAGGAGACAGGGCTTCATTTTGTAAAATCCTGAGGAAATACTTAAGAGTTTTGCATTCTAGAAAATTCATTCTGTGTTCTGAAGAAAATAGCCTGATAAAAGGAAACAAAATCTTGTACATTTAAATTTTAATGAGTTTGTATAAACATCTCCTGATTCACATGTCTGAGGAGTATCAGAATGCCAGCAGCTAGCAGTCTAACGAGGGGAAGGCAGGCATTTACGAAGTGGTTATAGAATTAGGACAGTCAGATCCTGATTGGTGCAGTTTCTAGTTGCTTTGTTCTCAAGGGGACTTAAAGTACCAGACCCATCCTAGCTTAATAGCTTCTCAATTTTTTTTATTAGACAGGGGTAGAAATGAGGAGTTACTGGGAAAGTTTGCTCATGACTTGTAAGGTCTGATTTAGTACATTGGTACAGAAGAGAGCTAATAGAATTAAAGCTTTCCATGGTGGGAATAGATGGGGTAGAAAGAGGAATTAAGGGTTTATTAGCTTTGTTGACATGGTAAAGAGTGGTTTCAATGGCTTTACAGACAACACAGAATGGAGTATGCACTGGTTGAAACAGGGGGCATAATGGTTTCAGCTCTTGATTCATAAGCAGAGAAGTGGAGCTGGAAGCTCATTTTATAGGCTGTAATGTAAGAGCTAATTCCTGACTTAAAGTGCAACAGTGATAGGTAAGGTGGAGAAAATGTAGCAAGGAAGGTGATCGTTAGAGGTTAGCAAATAGAGGTGAAAATAAGTAGGTAAGTAAATAAATAAATAAAAAGCAACCCTTAGCTGTCTAAAGTTTGTTGAAGAACCACACTTCAGATAGAGAAAAGAAGTAGTACTAGGCTATGTATGTATGTATATGTATATGTATATGTATATATGTGTGTAATATATTTAATAACAGCTCATTAAAATAATTAGGTTAAAGAGTAGGTCACAGTGACTCATGGCTATAATCCCTCCATTCAAGAGGTTGAGTTAAGAGGGTCGGAAATCCATGGCTGTCAGGGGCTACAGAGAAAACGGTGTCTCAGAGAGAAGTAGAGGACTGTGGAGATCACTTAGTAGGTAAAGTGCTTTCTGTACAACACATTATCTGATGTTTCAGCTGCAAGAACCCACCTCAAAGCCTGTCAGCAGAGCATGTCTGTGACCCTTGTATGTCTATGGTAATATGTGAGGCAGAGACAGGAGAATCCCGGAAGTCCATGTACCAGCTGACCTGAGTCCAGAGTAGTCAATGATGAAAGAGTCTCAGAACAAGGTGGAAGCTGAGGATCTATACCTGAAGTTGTCCCTAAGCTCCAAACGCATGCACACTCACATACAGGATAACACATACATACATAGCATATCCTCACACATGTACATACATGACAATTTGAAAGAGAGACATAGGTCAGTAAGGAATGGGGGAAGTATAGAGAAGAGGGGTGTTGGAAGAGAGAGAAAGTTGAGTGGGCCAAGAATAGATTGATAGGCATGGTCAAATCTAACTCGAAGGACAGATTACTTAGTGACAAAGCAGTCAATTGATGACCAGGTGCCAGTGATAAACCAGAAGGCCTACAGATGTCTGTCTGTGTAAGTGAAAGGGTTGTTGAGCTATGTAATGATTGTAATTATAGTGTATATAATTGCATTGTGATATAAGCTAGTCTGATTACAAAACAAATGAGGACATGGTTAGCAGATCTGTCCTTTGGAAAGGGGTTGCTATCTATCCCAGAGAGGAGGGCCGGTACATTACAGAGAAGGTATCAGCTCTGTTCTCTATAGAGGTCTTCTGGGACGGTGGAAGGGATTGACTTGAGAGCTTAGATTGGGGGCTTGGGAGGGGGATAGGAGGGCAGGAGGGAGAAGGAACTGGGATTGGTATGTAAAGTAAGATTTTTATTTAAATAAAAATTAATTTAAAAAGAAAAAAAAGTAGAAGAGATGAAGTTGTTGGTTAATGGTGGATGGGAGAATGTTTCATTCTGAGACTACCTCAAGCAATAGTCTTAGAGACTGTATCATGACTCACATCCAGGGTAAACCAAAGTTCTCGTGACCAGGGGAAGGAAAGCATATTTTTGGATCACAAACCTCTTACTGTACTGTAGGGCAGTGGGAACAAAACAGTTCAGCAAATTATCAGTAGCTAAACTATGGAATTTGGAAGATCAGTGTCAGGTCTCAGGTAAACACAAACAGGGATCTAGGAGATTTACATAAAGCAGAAGTTAGAGGAAGAATGGTTATCTGTAGTGAGCCTTTTTGGGATACAAGGAACATTACTGATTTCCGGGACTACTGGGTGTGCTAACTAGTGTTATGTCAACTTGATACAAGCTAGTGTCAGTGGAGTAGAGTGAGCTTCAATGTGAAAATGCCTTCTTTAAAATGGGACTGTAGTCTTGATTAGCAATTGATGTGGGAGGGCCCAGTGCGTTGATATCGTGGACACCCCTGGGCAGGTGGTCCTAGGTTCTATATGAAAGATGGCTGAGCAAACCATGGGGCTGGTTGTGGGGAAGTGCAGCAGGGGGTTGGTAAACCAGGAAGCAGCACTCTTTCATGACTTCTGTCTCAGCTCCTGCTTCCAGGTTCCTGTTTTGTTTGAGTGCTTGTCCTGACTTCCTTCAATGGTGAACAATGATACGGAAGTGTAGGAAGTATGAGCCAGACAAACCCTTTCCTCCTCGCATTGCTCTGGTCACGGTGTCTCATCCCAGCAATAGTCACCCTAAGAGGTTGGGGTTAGTCAGAACTCAAGACTGTGGTGTGTAATGGAGGAGTGACAACAGGTTACTGTCTCTGAAGGGGATGATCAGATCAACATCAAGAAGAAGGAGCTGACTCCAAAGGACTGACACCTTGAGACAGTAGTTTAGCCATGTGAAAGTACTAGGATATCATCCATAAGTGGATGTGAAATTTGATTCACGGCAAGTGTTCAGGGATTTAGAAAAGGCTAGAGGTGTTATTTAGAGAATAAAGCTAGGTGAGACTTTGTGGTGAGGAAACCTCTAGATGATGAAGAGCAAACATTTTGTGCCATGAAATCTGATGCTGACATGTAAGTGGGGTCAGAAAGCTGTAGAAAGCCCCAGTGCTGTGTGTACAGATGGGCGCTGTGGAGTCTCTGCGTTGGCAATGGACAGAGAGAATGGGAATGGACTCACATGTCACTCGGCAGTTGTTAGCTCACTTTTCTCTGTTTCTACTCCTGTGGTGAAAGGAAGTAAACTATGAACCAATAAAAAACTTGATGATCAGTAAAGAATGCAGAAATCTGCAAGGCTTTGTGATTTGGAAAAGGGACTTTTAGAAGGGTAAAACTGATTGAATATCTATTACGAAGAGTGGATTTTGAACACATCAGGACTGACAGTTTTTAGGATTAGGCTGGCTGTGTAGCGGTTTTCTCCTGGGGCAGTGGCTTAAGACTCTGTGCTCCAAGAAAGAAGCCTATTGAAGCTCATGCGCCATGCTTCTGACATGTGTCGTCACACGAGCGCCACGCTTCTATCATGTGTTGTCACGAGCGCCATGCTTCTGGCTGGTAGGATCTATTTCACTCATGCTGGGGTGGACTACCTTTGATGCAGCTTCCCTAGAGTCATCCTTGTTCCTGTAAGAAACCCCTCACCCACATTCCTGCAAATAAACCCAGCAAACCCATTGGTCCTCCAAGTTGGACCTTTGTATTTTTCTATCTGGTTTGAGTAGTCATTGGTTTTCACCTCCTTAGGAATGGTGTCATTCAACAGCGCCTAAAAACAATATAAATATTTAATTTCTAGTGTATTATTATGCAGTTTAAACATGAGTAAAAGTGACTTCTTTCTAACTAGTCAGTGATCAAGGAGACAGAACGAGTCTGTGACCCCAAAGTCTGGGAATTTGCAAAAAGACACTGTTAGTCCCTACAGGAGAGTATCCACCAGCACACCCGAGCTGTGCAGCTTTGGAGAGTTGTGTCATGGTACACTGGGGCCCAGCAGAGGTCACCTTCAGGTTAATAGGCACCAGTTGACACCACTGCTCCCCAGAGAGAAGGGTCACTAGAGTGACGATGTCATGTACACTGCTCCCAGAGAGAAGGGTCACTACAGTGACGACGTCATGTATACTACTCCCCAGAGAGGAGGATCACTACAGCGACGACTTCATGTATTTCTCCACCGGGGAACAGCCTGGGAGAGATGATGCTCCCCAGAGAGGAAGATCACTACAATGACGACGTCATGTACACTGCTCCCAGAGAGGAGGGTCACTACAGTGACGACGTCATGTACACTGCTCCCAGAGAGGAGGGTCACTACAGTGACGACGTCATGTATACTGCTGCCCAGAGAGGAGGGTCACTACAGTGACGACATCATGTATACTGCTCCCCAGAGAGGAGGGTCACTACAGTGACGACGTCATGTACACTGCTCCCAGAGAGGAGGGTCACTACAGTGACGACGTCATGTACACTGCTCCCAGAGAGGAGGATCACTACAGTGACGATGTCATGTATACTGCTGCCCAGAGAGGAGGGTCACTACAGTGACGATGCCATCTATGTCTCCAGACTGGGGAACAGCCTGGGAGAGATGATGCTATCTGGTGTCTTGCATACTGTGCAGAAAACTGAAATTATTTGAGAACACTCAATATTAAAGTGTATTTGCTGTTTATTATGCTGACAAGACTTTGGTGAATGCTTCATTAACTCATTTAGATATCTTTGGTAAATGCCTTAATGAAAGATAAAAATTACTGAATAAAATTTCTCCATACAGGGCACAACCTATGAGGATGAAATTAAAAATGTCAAACGTATAATTTCAAGGATTAATGGAATTCTGGCTCATAATTCACCAGTGTTGATTATTCAGAGGTGGATACGTGGTTTCATAGTTAGGAAGCACTTGAGGTATGTTTCCTTTTCTATACCATTTGTAAGATGAAATGAGATAAAAAAATACCAAGGATAAGAAGTTATAGAACAATTTGCACTTCTGTATTCTCTGTTCTCCAAATGATATTTACACCTGTATAAAGATCAGTAAGGGAAATGCCATATTATGATACATCATCAGAATTTCATGCCTTTATTAGTACTTTAAGTTGGCTATAAAATAACTAATAAATATAACTTTTGTAAATGTTTGACTACGGTATTTTTAAGTTTAAAGATGCCAACCAAGAATCTGTGTTGAAATTCTTTTAGTAATAATCGTAGTCATCATCATCTTACGGCTTTATATATCTATGATAAGATGGAGGCATGCTCTTCTATATAATTTCACATCATGGTAATGTGGAAATAGAAGATATATATATATATATATATATAGTATACACCTTAAAAATGGAAGAAGGCTTTAGATTTTATTGGGATATTTCGTTAATGCCCTTAGGACTGTGTTTTTGTCTCAGAAATGAGGCATCCTCTGGTACTGATATAACATGAAATAAAACCCCTGTTCACTGGACATGCCCACAATTTCAGCGCATGCAAGCAGAATCTGAGTATTGTGGAGAGGGTGTCTCAGGTCAGACTGACGTGATATCTCTTTAAAGTTCTGTTCCATTAGGTGTGTTACATAGCTGCTCAAAGCCAGAATTTCTTCATCTGTGAATGGTAAAGACCAAGGGCTAATGACAGCTCCCCTGTATGTGCTTGTAGGCACTGAATGGTGAATATAGTGCACCAGCACCCAGCAGAAGTGGCCCTGCTTTGTTATTAGATCTTGATGTAAACACACCTCTCCCATTGTTCTCTGGGGCTGTCTGCATTATCCACCTCTGTGGATTTCTCATTCCTTCTTCCTGTGTCCTCCACACACAGCATAACCACTGCAGAGTAGAGTCCTAATTAGGTTATTCACCGACTCCAAATCCTCCAGTGTCTCCAAATTTCCTAGAAACAGTTTCTACATCACATGCCTCTCACCATGCATATTTTACAGTTTATTTACACTGCAGGGATCCGCATCTTTATCTGTTTTCTGTTCAGCCCATTGGTGCTTGAACTTTGAGTGCTCATACATACTTTTGGAATTGATGAACACAATAAATGAAGATACCATGAGAGCTGGGATCAGCTGTTTCTGGATCAGTCTGTGGGATAGGCAATGTTCAGACTAGGAAACACAGGAAAATGAGCAAAGCCAAGAGAGGCATTGCCACAGCCTGAGGTCCCTACCCACCTCAGGGCATTAGTCCTGCACAATGCCTCCTGGCAGTAAGATATTTGCATTTCCTTGAAAGTTTTCTTTTAAAATGCCCAAATGTCATACACCTCCCATAAATCCCATATGTAGACTAAACCTAGAATTATTACCAATCTTCTATTTTTTAGAGTGGAATTTTCCTGGTATACGGATGGTGGGGTGAAGGGAAATCTGCATTTAATGTAAACAAATAAGCAGAGGCCTGTACCTGACTAGCAGCTAGACTGAGGTCATAGGGAAGAAGGAGGAGACACTAGGGCATGGATGTTAACCAATATGCAGCTCATATTTGAACCGGGTCCATCCGCTACTTGTCTCTTGATGCAGTGAGTTCCAGTTGGGCTTCTAGTTTGTGTCTCAGGTCTTTGCAGTGGTAAGATGTGAAGTTGATGGGCAGTCGGCACCTGCATTACACAGTAGAGGGCTGTTGTGTTGCCCACCTGTGCGTGGCTATGAAGAGAAGGGCTGTGTTACATCTGTAGCTTGACATTCTATTTCCCATGTTCTGAGTCCTGTGCACCTTCTGTTTTGTCTTTTCACTCCTGTCATTGAATGTCAGCAGAGGTCTCCAGTTCTTTCAGACATGAGTAATATTTGAAGAGTAACGTCCAGGAGCCAGATGTGTTGTGTGACAGTGGGGATCCTGGCTCCGAAGCCATGTCAAGAAGTCCAGTGTTGAGTGGATCATTCTTTCCATGACTTCATATGCTAATCCACCACACAGGGTTATTCTCTGCCATCACTGAGGACTGTTCTACTCATCCTCCAGTTTAATCCTACAATATATAAAAAAACACGGTCGGAATTATAACGTACACACTACTATCAGCGGCATATTCAATGAAGCCACGGATCTGCTGGGTGTTTCGTGTTTAGACCGAGGAACGCTGCAGAATACTCATTCCATTATCAGAGTGACATTGGCTCCTTATTTAGTGAGGTTATCTCATTAGATTTATGAGTATTTCATCTTAACCTATTTGTATTGGAGAGTTTTCCATCATGTTTGCTGACAATCACACCCTTCCTCATTTAGTCTGAATGGACTTTAAGTTCTGATTCCTATCCCACACTCTCTCCTCATTTCTAAATTTTCCTGGTTCTAGCTAGTGTTGCTTTTCTGAGTCCTGTGCAATTTCATGCTATTGTGTAGTTTATTTCATGGTAATAGGTTGTTGTTTCTTTCTTTTGTTAAAGCAGGTTTTTTTATCTCATGGTCTTACTTTCATTGTCAATGGCAATTCTATTATTCTCTATTTTCTACTTGACCTTTACCATGTACCCATCTGTATGGGACTGGATGGATTTCCTGAGTTGTGAGAAGGTTCCTTCTAGTCCTGAAGCCATCCTCTCTGTGGTGTTGAGTTGTCTAAAATGTGTCTGTCCTTTAGGGACCTGTGGCTGGGATCCCACCATTCCCTTTCTGCTATGGGCCTCCCTCCCATTTGATGTTTCTCATCTTAATTTCATCTTTCCCCAGGTATTTCCTATGAACTTTGCGTTTTGACCTAGAGTTGAGCTTTAGTTAATACCAGGTCTTCATAGTCCCAAACCATTCCAAGCCTTCTCCCCTGTACTTCATCTTTTGTATTGAATGTGGGGTGGATAGTTCAGGGTTCTTCAGCTGTCTCTCCAGACTCTCTGGAGTGTGCTTCTGTTCTCTCTCTTCATCACTTGTCTTAGTCCTTCTGTCTGTCTCCTCCTTTTTGAACCCCAGAGTCTTACAGGTGTCAGGGTTTTTTTAATTAGGTTTATTTTCTTTAAACTACCATCATTCATGCTTTATGTTTTCATAAAGTAACATATTATACTTAAAATATCCTGTAGTTATGAGAGTAACCATTAAGTAAACTGATATTTAAGCATGACCAGTATTTATAGGTTCATTCAAAGAGCTGATTTCAGGTGGTTGCATATTTCTTGTTTATGAAGTAGGTAAAAATATTAGGCATTGTTTCAGAAAGAGTATTTCATTAAAGTAAAGGTCATCTTAGAAAAGACTGTATGATACTACAGTCTGCACCATGTCATTGCAAGTTCCTTTGATAGACAGGGCCATATGATAGGCAGAGCCCTTTGAATGCTAGGGGTTTAATTAATTAGATTTTAGCTGAAGTCAGAGATTTATGATATTTACTCTGTATCCAAGTAAATATTATGAAATGCATTTATGCAATGTAATAATGTGGTAAAAGATAATAAATATATTGAGTTCATAGTGGGAGTGAAATGGAGGTCCTATAACCATTACATTGTAATTTTTTAAAAGCCTTATCAAACTTGATACTGTATCATTCATTTGTTTGACTGATTTGTATATAACAGAGACTACCTCAGTTGTGGTTAAGCAGAGGTGCAAGTTTTGTTTTATAGTTTTTTTTCTGTTAAAATTTATAGTCAAAGAGGCTGAGATCTGTGACTGTGAACAGTATTACTGAGCCCAGATTCTGTAACTTTTACTTTACGTTTCTACCCTGTGTTCCGTCATCAGCCACTGTGGCTCTTCCTCATGATAGCCAGTGGAGAACCAGACAGTTTTCATGTCCCACACTCTCTGATGCCTCTGACATGCCCTATTAATTCCTAAGGAAGTCTTCATGGTCAGTTGCCATACCCGGGAGTCAGCCGTAACAAGCAGCATAATCACATTGGCAAAATGTATTTCCTGTAACATAGCATGACCATGGGAGCAACAGCAGGGAGCAAAGGCCCCATGTGACATCTGGGAACTCATCCTGTCCTGTGTGAAGTGAGAAAAGTAAGACACGGCCGTTTGAACCCCAGACACATCTCACCTGTGCATAGCATAACCCAGCAGGGACATGAGTCAGCCTCTGAAGGGGTTTAGCGGGTTAGTGCACCAGCAGTGGCGGAGGGACAGAAGCTTGGGTCCACAGATACAAAACTTAGCCTCTGTTACTAAAGCTGAAAGGGAAAACGGGAGCTGGACCCTGCCCAACAGTCTCTGCTACAAAATACGTGGAAAGAAAAACACATCATGTACTCTGTAGCACATCAGATTATGTGTGTGGGATGGAGGAACAGTGACACATCACAGATTAAGCATTAAGAAAAAAACCAAACTGCCTTCAATATGAGTATAAATGAAGGTAATGAAAATACAAAAAACTGAAGAAATACAACACGAATATACAATGAATGATAAGAAAATTATATAAAAATTGATAAGCCTGGAATTGGTTCTTTTCAAAGAACAATAAATTGATCATGCTCCAACAAGACCAATAAAATAACGAGAAAGATAGGTAAGGCAGGGGTTGGAATGGCAGATACCAAGCATAGCAAAATGATCGCATTATAACTGCTTTATACTCTCTGGTGAGAAATGAATAGATTCCTTGAAAAAAATTCCATTTCCAAATTTATCAAAGAAGACATAAAAGCAACCAGTATAATCAAAGATATTCAATGCATATTAGAAATGCCACGGAGGCTTCATGCCTAGATGACTTTAATAGTTACACTATCTACTTCTCTAAGTTCTTAGCCAGCAAAGGCTCACATCCTGCCTGATTTTTCAGATGATTCCAAAACTGGATGAGAATACTATGGTAATGAAAATTGTAGGTCAGTCAGTTCAGGAGTATGTATGTGAGATTCGGTGGTACATAAAACGTGTAATGCCTTTTATAAGGTTGACTTAACAGAAATCACACTGAAGGAAAGACACCATTTT